TAATCGATGTACATATACCCTACACACAAATCCTGCCCTGGAAAGGTTTGCCTAGCTGTGTTACACAATTGAGATGTGTGTGGTCTGCTTTTTCAAAAGATACATAAAAGCTAACAGAAACTTCAATTGAATTAAATACGAAAACATCCAAAATGAACACATCCTACAGCTAAATCCGATCCCAGAAATGTCCTCACTGAAAGATGCCTGAGCTTCCCCAAATGAAAGGTTGCCTGAGAGTTGAGTGTGGTGTCACACATACAGGACTTGAGAGATGATGGAGTGAAGTGTACACATCTTTACTTCATTGTGTTGGGCAATGATACTTGTAACTCCTGACCTTCCCTCTCCCCAGCAGGATCTACAACTGCAACAGCAGCCGTAGCAGCACAAACACCACCCGGCCTTGCACAGCTCAACACAATACTCATCCTGTCTTATGTATTGGGATATGAAACAGATACGACAGGCCTCATAGAATCTAGTGATTGCCGAGTAGTGTTTTGTATTAACTACAATGGAGAGGTTTCAACATGAGGGCTTAGACTTGCATGAGTAAAAAGGGCATGGCTCCTACTTCTGTGTTTTAAATCAATGAATGAGAATCTTGAAAGAATGCAATAACCTATCCAACATGTTTCCATTTTAACATCAAAGTGAGAGATTAATTCTTAAGTAGACAGGATTTTGATTGTAATCTATGACAAACAAAGGCGTATCAACTGAATAGATTGCAGCTCTGTATGTATACTTGTTACATGATAATACATCACCTACATACACAGAAAAGGTTGAACAAAATAACTTGCTAATCTTGGTACTTCCTGTCTATATGATGACCAAACACAAGAAAGGAAACAAATTGTTAAATGAAAATACCGGAAATCATGGAAGAATATCATATCCCATTGACATAAACCAGCAGGAACGTTTGTAATTATACCACTTTGGATCAAAGTTGTTACTATGAGGAGGAAGAATATCATATCAAAAAGATTACAATCACCGTAAATGTTTTGAAAGAAAACAGAGGGAACTTTCCTTTTCTAATTTTTGTTTCATACGAGATCAACTGTTCCTACTGGCATCAAATATTCCAAGAAAAGAGATTATTTTCATAGGCAGGGGAAAGTTTGTGGAGCAAATACAGGCAGGGTTGAATGGGGAGAACTCCTCAGATCTGTGAGCCAAGAACCCTAGGGCCATCGCGATTGATATCGGAATTATACAACAATCCTCGGATACGCAGAAGGAGATGTCAAGAATCGCCCAACACAGAACTATCGCTTTGTGGCCAATGGGGAGGAATTTCTTGCGAAAATATCCCTCGATCCCGCCCCTGGCCAATTAGCATAGTTCTGCTGTGAAAGGGGAAATCAGATTGCAGAGAGCATAAACAAAAGCTGGATGTTATAGTAAGAACCGCCAATAATGTAAACTTGGAGGGCACCCCACTGATCCAGGCAGGTGCTTGGGACAGTCTGTGTCAATTGTTGAGGGAATTGGACATCGCCTGTTATGATCTGTGCAACATTTTTGGCAAAAGTGTTTGACAGCACGTCAGAGTGGCAAGTCTATTGACAGGCGTTTATTTGCCTGCTTGACGAGCTCAAGCCTACAGCCGTTTAACAAGTAACTTAATCCTATACAAATTATGTAAAGATAAAAAACTTGCATTACATATCCTCATTGGTTTATTTTATTGAAATACTGGCATGCAAGCTGGTCCTAATCTGTGCGAAATCCTGGAGAAATCTCACCTCTTTTAAATGGTAGTTTGTTTAACTGAAGATACAGGGGAATTTGAGAAAAAAAACAAATCAGTTAATCAAACTTGATGACCCCGAAACCCAAGGCACATGTGGACAGGACTGCTTCTCACTGTAAATACACTACCATTGCTTATACAGTTGCTGCCTACAAAAACAGGGACTGGATTTTAAACATGGCTCCCATGTCAGTATTCACAAATTACACAAAGCAGGTACCACCTGTAGCAGGCAGCAACTGCAGTATTAACAGAGTAAATGAAATCTGACATGGAACTAAACAACAGCAGGAAATATGATATTTCAATCAGTTTTCAGCTGTTTTTTTAGACTGTTGTCAAAGATGCTAAACACATGTAAGTTATGTCAGGTCTAAAAGGTAAGTGCACATCTGGCAGTGCAGCTATGAGGTAGTAAGGAATGGTACTGAGGAACGAGAACCTTAGTCTGGTCCTGGAGAAACTGAGGGCAGCCCCAGAGAACCAGCAGGGTTCTTGATAACCAGAGTCAAGGAAAGGAGGGTTAGTGTGCAGTCACGGACAACTAGAGTGAGGTCCTACTAAGTTGTAGGTAGCCAAAGTGAGCCAGTGTGAGGTCACAGGTAACTAGAATGAGGTTCTAGAAAGACAGTCAGTCAGATCAAAGAGAACCAATGTAATGTCACATGTAACCAGAATGAAGTTCTATGTAGCCAGAGTGAAGTTCTAGACAGCCAGAGTGTGGTTCTAGACAGCCAGCGTGTGCTTCTAGACAGCCAGCGTGTGGTTCTAGACAGCCAGCATGTGCTTCTAGACAGCCAGCGTGTGCTTCTAGACAGCCAGTGTGTGGTTCTCGACAGCGAGTGTGTGCTTCTAGACAGCCAGCGTGTGGTTCTAGACAGCCAGTGTGTGGTTCTCGACAGCCAGTGTGTGCTTCTAGACAGCCAGTGTGTGCTTCTAGACAGCCAGCATGTGGTTCTAGACAGCCAGTGTGTGCTTCTAGACAGCCAGTGTGTGCTTCTAGACAGCCAGTGTGTGGTTCTAGACAGCCAGTGTGTGCTTCTAGACAGCCAGGGTGTGGTTCTCGACAGCCAGTGTGTGCTTCTAGACAGCCAGTGTGTGCTTCTCGACAGCCAGTGTGTGCTTCTAGACAGCCAGTGTGTGCTTCTAGACAGCCAGCGTGTGCTTCTAGACAGCCAGCGTGTGGTTCTAGACAGCCAGTGTGTGGTTCTAGACAGCCAGCGTGTGGTTCTAGACAGCCAGTGTGTGCTTCTAGACAGCCAGCGTGTGGTTCTAGACAGCCAGTGTGTGGTTCTAGACAGCCAGTGTGTGGTTCTAGACAGCCAGTGTGTGCTTCTAGACAGCCAGTGTGTGCTTCTAGACAGCCAGCGTGTGGTTCTAGACAGCCAGTGTGTGGTTCTCGACAGCCAGCGTGTGCTTCTAGACAGCCAGTGTGTGCTTCTAGACAGCCAGTGTGTGCTTCTAGACAGCCAGTGTGTGCTTCTAGACAGCCAGTGTGTGCTTCTAGACAGCCAGTGTGTGCTTCTCGACAGCCAGTGTGTGCTTCTAGACAGCCAGCGTGTGGTTCTAGACAGCCAGTGTGTGGTTCTAGACAAGGTTCTAGATAACCAAAGTGAGGTTATACTGATCCAAAGTGCAGTTCCATATAACCAAAGTGAGGTAATACTTATCCAAAGTGCAGTTCCATATAACCAAAGTGAGGTAATACTTATCCAAAGTGCAGTTCTAGATAACCAGGGTGAGGTTATACTTATCCAAAGTGCGGTTCCATATAACCAGGGTGAGGTTATACTTATCCAAAGTGCGGTTCTAGATAACCAGGGTGAGGTTATACTTATCCAAAGTGCGGTTCTAGATAACCAGGGTGAGGTTATACTTATCCAAAGTGCAGTTCTAGATAACCAGGGTGAGGTTATACTTATCCAAAGTGCGGTTCTAGATAACCAGAGTGAAGTTCTAAACAACCAGTTTGTGGTTCCAATTTTAAAGAGCCAGGGTGAGGATGTAAGGAAGTAGAGTGAGGTTATTGAGGGTATAGGCAGCTAAGGTAAGGCCCTATTGAACAAAATCAAGTCTTCAGGAAACTCCTGTGGGGTCACAAAGAAACGGTCATAGGGTACTAGACCATGGTTCTAGACCAAAAACAACATAGCCCTTTGAAGCAGAGTGAGGTTCTAGCCAAATATAACATGCTCCTTTTGAAGCCGAGAGAGATCAAAGAGAGCTTGACGTCACGGGGAACAAAAGTGAAGCCCTACAAGTCTACTGAACCAGTATGAGGCCCTACATCATTTCAGTGAGCTGGAGGAACTGGAGGAACTGGAGGAGCTGAAAAAGGTTTGAATGTGATGTATGAAGACATGATGATGTTCCTATTCTTTGAATAACATATCAACACATAACATTGAATTCCGAAATGATGTAATACAATAATATTTGGCCTTCAAATCCCAATGTCAATGACTTCTTTATACTAGCAAAGTGAACCAGAGATGAGTTCTTTTCAATGAAGATACTATAACTAACAGAATATATGTCAAGATCTTTGCCAATTACGTCACTGGGCTATTGAAATCATTTAGGGCCACTGGGAATTATGTTAAGTTGCTTAGGCAGATTACACTAAAAAGAGTGAAGGGGGTTTACTGCCATGGTTAGCAATATTTTAACCATGTCACTGTAGAGGAATAATTTGTGCACTACAGGAAAGAGAGAGAGTTGATGTTATATTTCCCAGCAGTCAGCACTATTCCAGCTTTATCATGACAGCCTGTAGATATCCGAGTGGGCCAGGCAGACCAGTGGCTGATGGAACGTTTGTTTCTTAATGCTGCACCCTGAAGTATTATTGCTATATAACAGGAGCCTGTAAATAATCAAATCTGGACGAGAAAAACTAGCGATAACTTGATATTTGATACTTGATTTTATGCAATGTCTCACACTGTTGTGGTATGATGACATACATTCAACCACTGATGTCACTGAGTCTGACCACCTTCTCCTTGAAGTCATCTCCTACGACAGGCAAAGGGACCAATTCTTACCTGGATTCCCACTGGGATATTGGTAGCATGAGGAATGATCCTAATCATCGGGGTACATGGGCACACAATCAGCCAGGTTGCTCATTGTAACTTTCTTATCTTTATTAGTCTGCCTTTACTTAAACTAAAAGCATGGACTTTTTTTCCTATTCTGCCCAGGAATCCCAATGAGGACTGAGACTTACTTGCAGCATGTCCAGGTCTAAGGCAGCCATATGATTGAGCATTCGGAGTCCAGTGAGGGTGACCAGGAGTGTGTGCTGTGGCAGCTCTGGAGGAGGCGTGTCACCACGACTTGGAGCACCAGAATGAAGCAGCATGCCATACAGCAACGATACGATTCCAACCAACTCGGTCACCTCAAATGTGCTGATGAGCTGAGACATATCCTCTCCCTTCTTCTTCTCAAACAGACTGGAATTTCTGAAACAGTGAAGAAAAAGAGTCAAAATGTTTGCTACAGCCAATACTGCTAGCATGCCTTTCTCTGTTTTGTGTATTAGAAATATCATGTGAACTAAACAGTCAGTAAGTGGGGATTTCACTCTGTAGTTGGCATCATCAAATTTATCAGGTTCTGGAGCAGTTTCCAAAATAGATGCTTGATGACTATTTTGTCGCTGGTAACATTTGTTGGGATAGGTGAAATTTATTCTTCTAGTTGAAAATTTCTGTACTTATTACTGTGTACATACATGTATTCTGACAGCCAGTGCTGATTGACTGTATTAAAAAAATAACTTGCAAGTTTACTGCAAATCGTGACTGACATTTCCTTTCAATGTTGACATTGCCTGATTATCAGCTTCTATGTTTACGAACTTTAAAATTATAGTTTTGAAGCATGCATCTGACTGTTGCATCTTTGGAAGCAGAAAAATCATAGGAGAGCTTACAATCAATGAATTCTCTCTCTTTCAAAATGGTAACATGGTAGTCACTGTATTTCATTCTTGAAGCATGTTGCTGCTTGGCCCCTAGCTTGGGCTGTTGTATGATTGCCTATGTCTCAGTCGAAGATATATTTCTTTTTCAAAAATGCTAATGGCCTTAAAGCAATGACAACAGAGAAAGATAAGAAAAAACACCCAAGATCTGTAAGTTATTCCATCTGCCCAAATCAGGATTTTTGCAGTTTAAGTCAATAAATAATAGCTCCTATATTATTTTTACCTTGACAAATCATCTTTTGAACTTAACCTTAACCTACTTGATATTTAGATGCCAATCCAACATAGTCTGTGTGTCATGAAGTACCATAAAAAAAGTACCATAAAAATTAGCAAAATTAAATCAATAGTTAAACATTTTATCAAGCAGAAACACAAAACATTAAAAAGAAAAGATGCCTTGATAGAATACGGACACCGGACGTCAGCCCGTTGCGTAAGTTCTATGACCAGTGTAGCTAATGATCGTGAACTTTCGATATAAAACTCTATTGTCCTGCAACAAAAGATTGACTGCAGGCAACAGATCTCGCTTCATCATGGTGGTATTTGTTACATCAAAGAAGCCACCTTTTCAATACAACACAGTAATAAACTGTGAGAAATTATTAGAATACTCATGAATCAAAGCATTATAGACCCGAGCCACAAGATGACAGAACTTAATGTCATGCATGATAATCACACGCATACTAATCAATACGAACAATATTTACCGTGAGAAAGATTCTGCGATTAATGTGATGGTAAATGGGGAGACAAAACAAGGACAATCCCATAGAAATAAGGCATCAAGTGTTTTCATTCACATCATTTCAGGTGACACGACACAATCAATTTTCCCACTAAATGAGGATGGGACTTGAAATTTGTGTATGAAAAGCTTTGATTTGCAAGTTGGAATGGAGGAATTAGCTGGAGGCTATGTAATAACACTGGGGACTGATCAATAGGTGTAATTTGCTGCCACCTTATATATTGTAGTCACTCTCCAGGGACTGATGCTCTCATAATCATACTCCGTGATTCACACACTCATTTCAACAAATGGATAATGACAACGACCAGGTCGTCTAATTTTGAAAAATATTGAAATATACCAATACTGAAATAAGTTCTAAAAAAAGACTCTCACTGGTCCAAATTGGCTGTTTCACTCAGCTGTCAATCTCAGGCTTCTAGAGACTACCTGGTTAAGAATAAAACTGTTAAATTCAACTGGAAACATTTCCAGGAATACTGGTGTACCAGTAAGGTACAGGGAGGTATATGTAAGCAGGAAATTGAACAACAGCATACAGCCTGTGTGTGTTCAGGCTGCACTAGCAGGGTGTCCTGACAGGATGGGAGTTGCAATTATGCACATATACATTCTTGATTATCACTAGCTGTCTTACATGTGGATATTTATTCTAAATTTGGCAACGGAATACAACAATTTATGTGAAATGATAATTTTATATTTGTTATTAACGTACAGAGAATTTCTTGCTAATCCAGATGGTACAAGATCATCCAGAATCGCAAGCTTTTGGATGAATGAATCATGGGTAAGGAGTGATGTTCCTTTTAATATCTAAATATGTCCCCCCTAAAAGACTTCAGAAGATGGGGTTCTGGATAAATGGGGTCCTGACTAACGAGGGTTCCCTGTAACATTTTCAAAGTTTGCAATTTTTCAATGACATCATCACCCCACAGTAACTTAATGACCTCACTTTTGCTCAAGGTTACGTCAGAATGGGAGAATTTGCAGACAAAGGAATGTTTTCTGGTGTTTTCAATAAGATTAAAGTTGAGAATAACTGACTAATCTTGTCAGACAACATGTTTATCTCATCTAGAGCTCTGACAAAGTAATATGTTCACTCATGTCCGAACCACACGTGACAGCATCTGCTCTATCAGGCCACTTGATGGGAGAGATATTTTCTTTGACAATATTAGCCCAATGTCCATGCTCATGATAATATTTTAGATATTTTTTTATATAATATCTTTTGAAAATAATCACCAAAGCTAAATCAAACTGGATGTAACAGTGGTTCTTGATGGACATGACATCCAACTAAAAATATTTTAGAAATATGCTATGCATACCAAATCAAAAGATAACCATTAACTGTTTCTAGAAGTCCTTAAACACAGCAGTATTTTCCTAGTATTACAATATATCAAGACAAAGTGTGTTCTAACATCCCACTTAAAAAACCAGATGATTGCACAAATCTGGCTTGTGCCATACCCTTAGCATGTACATATTAACAAGATGTACAGTTTTGCAGAAAATGTAGATACGTCTTTAGAAGTATAAAAATTAGTATTAATAGCAGCCAAGCCATTTACAAACTTAAAGAACATGGTAGGATTCCCTTTGGTCTGCAAGTTAAATGTTAAGTTACGGAAAACTTTTAAATATTGGTATGAAAATTGTTAAACACTTTCAAGTGTCATCCAACTAGGCATTTATCTTTCTTACATTTGCATTAATTGTTGACTTCTGACATGACCAAGTCCAAATGTATTGTCAAAATGAGACTAAAAGACTATTTTTTAACTTCAAGAGAAAGTTTAACTAAGAGTCAAATGATATATCATGAAATGATCTAAATGTCCTCAATGGTGATGCTGATAATGTTTTAAAAGGCAAATAATCCATTGCTTACCATCAAACCTGTCTTATTAAAATCCATGTTTCCCAAATATATTGTAATTTGTTTAAGTCTCAGATATTTCCGAGGAATGTTTTTGAATATGAAGGAGGATTATAGACTTGGCCATTGATTGTCAGATTAGAAAGTAATCAGTCATTATGACAGTGGAAGACAGTGGATTTAAAGACCATCATTATGAATGTGCTCAGCAACTGTTCTGCCAAGCATTGTTTCAAATCAATGTGCCTTGACTCAACTCATTAATTAGTCTTCACAGATCATTGTCTTATAACTGATTCAATTTTGCAGGTGAATAGCACTGCATGTGTTTACAGTATCGTAGTCGCTAATCACCAATTAATACTGACATGGTTCCATTCAGGTAGAGACTGCACGACAAGTCAACTGGATGAAATCCTAACATAGGGATTGATCAGGCAGACAGACCAATCCAGACCAGACCCTTTCATGTCGACTGTCGCCTTTCACCGGACTCCATGAAGTGTGAAAACAAGACAATATCGTGACAATTATCAGCCGACGACACTCCGAAATCTCGGCACGAGCATCAGCCAGTGCAGGACAAAGAAAGCAAAGCCAACACAAAGCTGCAACATCGGCATGATGCAGTAGAACGACGTCATGGTCACCTGGGCAAGATCAGAGAGGAGTGCAAACAGGTGACAGGTCCAAACTAAACACTGCAGACCAGGAAAGGAAATTGGGAAAAGAGATAGCCAACCAGCAGATAAAATCTCCCTGGACTGATTATTTTCCAAATATTTAACTTGAGCCTTTGTGCTCTAGCCACTAAAACATAGCATATGATTTCACGTTGTCAAACATCACCTATATTGATTGGCAATCAATCCGCAAGAATACCTGGCAAATTTACTGACAGTCCTATTTGTAAATAAATCAATGTGCGACTGACAAGGGCCAAATTAACAATGGCCAGCATAATGGAGAACAGCTCCCACAGGAGTTCATCACAAAAGCATGGTCCTTTTCTATCATGTCATCTTATCGTCAGTGCCACATAAAAACATACTTTGATCGATTTGTCCCCAAAAGTAATCTGAGCGTGTAGGCCTGGCTAGCTTGGAGTGACAATATGTCAATGGGCTAAGCTGTCACATGTCAGAGAGACAAGGACAACTTGACACACAACCAGTTACAATATCTTTCTGCATGTCTTCAATTCTATCAAACCTAAGAGATGACAAGTTGAAGATTAACTTCAGACTCTCTGAAGATTTATCTGCAGAATGTCACACAAAATATCTTGGTGATTTCCAATGCCGTTGAGATTTCATTGCAGCAGTAAAGTCAATGGTTTGTTAAACCAAAATCAATTTCTAAGAAAACAAATACAAAGAACCGTATTGTTCTTTTTTTATGCCTTGATAATCCATTGTAGCTTAAAAAGAACTTGTTTATAATCATAATCATAGCTGTAAAAATAGAACCATTGTGACAGAATTCATTCAAGAAATAAAAAAAGTCTGCCTTTTAAAATACCCCATTTACAATAGTTCAAGAATTGAATTCATTGAACAGTATGCATCAAGGCAATGAAATGTATCCTTTCTGTGGCTTTACACATTCTAATTTTTATTTTCAATTGATCAATCTGACTTGACTTATTGATCTGACAATTACCTGAGAGAAACACAAAACTGTTGAAATCAGTTAAGTCAATCTTCAGACATTGATATCTTTAATTACACCAACAAAGAATGTCTAAATGGCATTGTGAGCGAACAAGTGTCAAAGAAATGAAATATATCAACTATTTCCCGAACCATTTTCACACTTG